GGTTTATTTTACTTAAAAATTTTCTAGGGAAAATTTTTAAGAGAGCTCCTTTAATTGTGTGTGTATGTGTGTGTGTGTGTGTGTGTGTATAAAATGTAAGGAGATCACTTTTAAAGGATACTTTTCTCATGATTGTATTAATCACCTGTTATGAACTGGTGGCACTTTGTTCATAGACAGCTTTCAGAAAGTCTCAGAACTGTTGCGCTCAAATCACAGTGGTTTGTTTTTATTCCAGAAGGAAATATGGAGTTCCGTTTCCAGAATATTTGGGTGAAAATAGCAATATGAGAGTTTGTTTTAGGCCTGGAAATTCAAAGCTTATTCCCTCTAGCATATCACTTTATTAATAAGTGAAATGCAGTTACTTTGCTCATTAAGGATCAGAGGGACAAAGAAAGGACCGAGAAGGAAGAGAATTACAATATAACTGAAAGTCATTTCATGAAAGTAACAGTTATAGATGATGCCCCATATACTCAGTCTCTCATTTGGAGAAAGGAAACAAACACTGGTAGGAGAGGGCTCACCTGTGGAAGGAAAGCAGACTAGCAGGGGTTCCTGTGCACTGGGGTAGGGTTCACAGGACGAGAGGAAAGGATGTTAATGTCAGGGCCGGGAGGGAAAATTCAGAATGTTTTGGTTGAAAATGCTAAAACTGCAGCATTAAAGAAAGAAAATTTCTTTTCAGAGGCTTAAATGACCTGGAAGTTACTTTCAGAAATGTTGAAGTAATGATAGGAAATGTTTCAAAGGCATGTAAGTAAAAGAGGTCATTTTAAGCTTATTGCCTCTTTCTGGTGTTTACTCAGGGTTAGCTGGGAAGTACTGTAGAGAGTTTTTGCTCTAAAGAAATCGAAGTTCTTTAACTTGCACTTTAATTCCAACTGAAAAATGAAAGTGTCCTTCTAAATGTTTCTGATAGAATCGGAATACTCTTTCAAATGACTTAACATGGAGCTCATCCCTCTGTGAGAGGAAACTGAATGACCACACCACTGTTTGAGAGATGCACACAGCCCTCTTAGTACACTTTACCTGTGACAAACCAGGAGAGGGTTTTGGAATAGGATTTGCTCTTGGATTATCTCTGGGGCTCAGAAAAGCTGCAGGTTTCTCACAGATGTCACAGGCACAATAACCAGCTGCAGCCCAGGATAAGAAAGCCTGAGGCCTCAGTCTCATCACTCAGTCGGAACACTGTTGGCTCGCACGGTCTTGTGTTGGCCTTCCCTCAGCAGGTCAGAAGAGCTTCTCGGCTCTCAGGGCCTGACATCAGATGATCCATTCCTCAATCACAGCCAATGTCAACATTTGTCACCTCTGGGGAGCTTCCTGTGGCCTCTCTAGAGCACCTGTAGCACCACACATTTATAACCACCAGTTCGGCGAATCAGATTTCTTCAGTGACGGGATGTCAAAGTGTTTCTGGGTTACAGAGTTTTTTAAGTGTGTTGCCATCTTGTGTACAAATGGACCCTGGATTCTTTTCTGGGATCATGCATGTAAAAGAGATCTGGCCCACCACAAACCACAAGACCCTTGAATCTGCCCGTCTATATGGAGCTTATCTGATTTCCAGGATAGCCGTTAACTTGACCTCTCGTAGGGTCCAAGATGGCCACTGGCCCTTCAGTCAGTCAGTCTGGATGTAGAGCAGAGTCTCCATCTACCAGTGGGGTACATGTACCGGTTCGGAGCAAGCCCAGGTTCTTCAGGAGTTCTGCAATGGGATACCCACTGATACTTTATTGGCTAGCTGAAGACCTGAACAGGGAACCCATCTAATTTGCCAGGCCTAATCCACCCATTCTAGCCACGAGTGTTCCTAACACTCTGTAATACTAAAATCCCTACCAAACAAAAATGGCCAGGTGTTTTTCCATTTATTCAAAAGGAACAGATACTTGTTTCAACGTTTTCGAAAAGTATCACAGTGAAATGCTTACAGAAGTGGCAGTGCTTAGCACCTCCCTGCCCCACATGATCTCAAAGGCCCCTTATGGCTCTAAAACTTTATGATTTTTATAGTTCCAGTTGAGGAGAAATTGGCAGAAATTAGTTGCAAGGATGAGTAGGCATCTACTAATACCTACAATAACTAACAACTATTGCCAGAAATTCAAGCTGGATTCAGAAAAGGGCATGGAACAAGGGATATCACTGCTGATGTCAGATGAATCTTGGCTGAAAGATTCTTGACCAGAAAGGTGTTTGTGTGTGTTTTACTGACTATGCAAAGGCATTTGACTGTGTGGATCACAAAAAATTATGGATAACATTGCGAAGAGTGAGAATTCCAAAACACTTCATTGTGTTCATTAGGGACCTGTACACAGACCAAGAGAAGGTCATTTGAACAGAACAATAGGATACTGCGTGGTTTAAAATCCAGAAAGCTGTTCATCAGGGTTGTATCCTTTTATTGTGTTTATTCAGTCTGTATGCTGAGCAGATGATCTGAGAAGCTGAACTATATGAGGAAGAATTTCATGAGGATTGGAGGAAGAGTGATAACCTGTGAGATGCAGATGATACAACCTTTCTTGCTGAAAGTGAGAAAGACTCGAAGCACTCATTGATGAAGATCAAAGACTAATGCCTACGGTATAGATTACACCTCAGCATAAAGAAAACAAAAATCCTCACAACTTGACCAGTAGGCAGCATTACGATAAATGGAGGAAAGACTGAAGTTGCCAGGGATTTCATCTTACTTGGATCCACAGTCTTGCCATCGGAAGTAGCAGTCAAGAAATCAGATGATGTATTGCACTGGGCAGATATCCTGCAAAAGACCTCTTTATAGTGTTAAAGAGCAAAGTTGTCACTTTGAAGATTAAGGTGCCCTGTTTCAAACCATAGTATTTCCAGTAGCCTCATATGCATGTGAGAGCTGAACAATGAATAAGGAAGACCGAAGAAGAACTAAACATTTGAATTGTGGTGTTGGCAGAGAATGTTGAAAATACCATGGATTGCCAGAAGAACAAACAAATCTGTCTTGGAAGAAGTACCACCAGAATATTCCTCAGAAGCGAGAATGTCCACACTTCATCTCGTGTACTTTGGTCATGTTGTCAGAAGGGACCTGTCCCTGGAGAAGGACATTGTGCTTGGTAAAGTACAGACTCATTTAGGAACACCCTCAATGAGAAGGATTGACAAAGTGGCTGCAATGATGGGGTCAAGCATGGCAAAGATTGTGAGGACGGTGCAGGACCGGGCGTTGTTTCATTCTGTTGTACACACGGTCGCTCTGAGTCATAACCAGCACAACGGCACCTAACAACAACAACTATGAAATGTGTAAGCCGAGTGATAAATGCTGAGCACCTACAATAAGCTATCTCTATTCTAGGGAGCTCTGGTAGCATAGTGCCTAAGGCACTTGACTGCTCACCAGAAGGCTGGCGGTTCAAACCCACCAGCCACTCCTCAGAAGGAGGGTTGGGCAATCCTACTTCCGTAGTGATACTGCCTCGGAAACCCAAGGAGGGGTCGCTATGAGTCGGGGCCAACTCGATGGCAAACAACAACAACAACAACATTCTAGGTGCTGAGGGTAGAGCAGTGGTCTGTTCTAAGGATGTGAGAGAGCTTGGGGCCCATGTGAAAGTCACAGCCCTCAGCCCCTGCTCCTTCTTGGGGGCGCTGTGCCCTCCATCACTCTGAAGTCAGGAGGGACACTGTATGCCTGAGACATGCATTCATCAGGCTGATCGAATTCATAAATAAACCCAAATTGGTGTTAGTTTTCTATTTTATCCTACTGGTTCAATGCTACGATTTAAACCAGTTGCCGTTTCTCAGTCCTTTATTCCTGCAGTTTGCTCATTTCTAGCCGGGCTGGTAATAGACTGTGCACTGGGCATGTCTGAAACCAGAACCTGATTATTTGTCAAGTTGTCTTCCTTATTTTCTTCTATTTAGCAGCTGGGACTGATTATGTATTAAAGATTTTTAAGATATGTTTATCATTTATGTTCATTTGGCTCTCTATACAAAAACCATATATATAAATATAAATATATATATATATATATATATACTCCCTCCCCATTTTTTTTCAATCTTTTCATCTTGGTCTTCCCAAGTGGCATAAAAGTAACATCATCATAGTAAATGGTTGTGTATTGAGGTCTTGCCATGTACCAGTCACGGATAAAGCACTTGGCCTGCATGATCTTGTTCAAACCTTAAGGAAACCGTTTCAGGAAGGTGTGTTAGCATCTCCTTTACAGCCCTGAGAGGTTATTGAAGATTTCCCAGGTCACATGGTTAGTACAAAAATGTTGTCAAAAGAATACTTAACAGGGGCTTCTGATATGTGGCATGTTGCATTATAGTTTCAAAACTGGGTTTTGTTATGACTTTCGCTGGTTTGAATTAAAGTGAGGATATCACACTAGATCAAAACCAGGATTTGATCTGGTCACAGTTCTGCCATTGACATTTAGGGAGAGCTGTGTTTTAGGAGAATGACACTGTTCCTTTATGCTGACAACCTCAAATGTTAGGTGTGTACGCTGAGATACTTAGGGCCTTCTTTCTCTTTGGCCCCTCTGGGCTTTACTTATATGAGTACGGCACTTATCACATATATTATAAAATATTTTTATATGTGTGTGTCTTTCTACTAAGATGTGAGCTCTGCAATAACAGACCACACATTTATTCATTTCCAAAGCCCTAGTGCTAGCCACACATTGGGCATACAGTGAATGGTCACTGAACACTCAACATTTTTAAATGCTCTGCACATCCTAGTTTCCTTTAGTAATTTTTTATATGTTCATGAACTTACTGAAATTATCTGTGGAACTTGTTTTCAATTTGTACCACACCTTAAGTTAACAATAAGTTTACTATCTGCTGTGTAAAATAGTGTTTTCTTTTATTTGTTGTAAAAATATTTCCTAAAATTAGAATTTAACAACCTTTGAAAGCAGTGTCTTCCCTTCATCATGTTGTTCCATGATGCCTTTTATCTTTCTCAGGAAGGTGACATCTGGCCCAACTCTTCAGCTGAAATCACCGTGTACTTCAACCCTGTGGAAGCCAAGCTCTATCAACAGACTGTTTACTGCAACATTTCAGGTAGAGACTTCCTCCATGGGGTCAGTTCAGCACATAAAGCACAGTGCCCGAGAGTGTGTGTGGATATGTGTGTGTGTGTCTTTAGTACAAGACAGGATATTGACAGGGGAGTCATGGAACCAAGCTGTGTGCCTCTCGTTTCTTTCTAGAACAGATCAAACTTTGTGGTGCATTACAGTGCTGGAGTGGAGAGTGGGGAAGGGTAAAACATGGATCTTTTGTTTCTGCCTGATTCTTACAGCAGTAAGAATATTACCTGAAATAAATTCTTACCTTGTTTTTTTTTTTTTTTTTTTTTGTCTTTTATAATATTTGGCATGTTAATTTTATTTTCTTTTAAATTTTTTTTATTAAAACAATGCATGCCAAGTGTGGTGGGAAGGCAGCCTGGGAGGAGCCAGAACTCGTGAAGAGGGTATGCAAGTGGTGTGGCAACTTGATGACGTCAGAAGCTTGGCTACGTGCAGAGAGACTGAGCAAATATATGACTGTGTTGAGGATAATGAAAGCCAGGTTTTTTTTTTTTTTTTTTTTTTTCCTTTTTTCCTCTTGGAGGAGGAACATACAAATACAGAAAGGGCGTTAAAATGAACCCTTTGCTATTGGAGTGGAACTGGAGTTACCACTGTGAATTCATGGTTTTGATACATAGACAGTTAGTTATAGAAATAAATATACACGTAAATGGGTGAATATGTGTTTGTACAGACATAAGTATGCTTCCTAACTTTGTCCTTGAGAGGTCTTGGAAGCACTGACACCCTAATAACGCTGAGCAAACCTAGCCCTCAAAGCTTGGGTTCTAAACACCGTTCTCTTCTAAAAGGAAACCTGGAAAACTGGCTGATTCCAGGATGGAGGCAGGGAAAGACCAAGATGAGCCTGTCTTGTGCTAGACAGCAAGGAAGTATTCAGAGAATGACAGGAGCATGTCAGAATCTCAGAAGCCAGCAAAGGGCTTCCTTTGGAGTCTTTGAGTCCACCTAACAAAAATGTGTGATTTGAGAACTCTCATGGTGAGATACTAGACGTTTACACTGTGTTAGAAATAAAAAGCTTTATTGAAGGATAAAAGGTTTCATAAACCAGGAGGCACGCAAGCATCCAGGCAGGATGCAGCAGTTCTCCGAACGCAGGGAGCAGGCGGTTTTTATCACGTGAAATAAGCAACAGGACTGTGCTTCCCGGCACAGGAGGGAGGGAGCAGCGGGGCCAAATTTACAAGAGCTCGTTGAACTGTAATCTAACTTCTTAACATCAGTTATATCCTGAGGGTTGTTTAACAAAACTGTAATCTTAAACTTCTTAACATCAGTTATATCCTGCGGGTTGTTTAACAAGCCATTCTATTAAGGATAATCAAGTCAACTTTCTATAAAAGCTGCAGCCTGCCATTCCCCTTATCTTAAAGGAACAAGCTTAGGCTTTTACTTTTACCATTGACAAACAGTTAACAGAAATTAAGTGAAGATTTCAGTGAATGAAGTCTCTAATTAGGGGAATCAGGAAATTATAACTGAAACTTGGTTAATTGGCTTTTACCTCATCTTGGTTACAGAGTTACAAGACAACTGCAGGGCTTCATCTTAACATTATCAGTTTGGTTTTCTAACCTCATGTTGACCAAAGTATTTTTCCCTAGAACAAGCTGTAGACATTCTTGGAGAATATCTTTTAACAAACAATTCCTAGCACAAGCTGGGGGAAAAAAAAAGGAAAGAAAATCCTGAGCCTTACTCTTTTTTGTGTTATGCACAGTTAAACTTTGACAGGATGCTGAATTGCCTTTTCAGAGTAGCAATGAAAATTTTAGCCTAGCTACAGCTTGGTTGAAAAATGGAGTTTTGTGTGGATCTGGGCCGGCTGTTTTGCGTTCGTGGCAGGTACGTTGGTTTATATACGTATCATCTGGGGATCTTGTTGAAATGCAGATTCTGAGTCAGTATATCTGGGGTGGACATGCAGAATCCCAGCAGGGAGTCGAACTGAAATGAACTGGTTAGAAGTCTCCCGTCATCCTGGACCACCTGGGAGGATACAGTGAGTACTCAGCCTCTGAAAATTCCTTCTGTCACAAAGCCCAGACAGCTAGCTTGTTTCCTCTGATGAGCGTCAGGCAAACCCACATTGAAGAGGAAAAAATGACCAGCTCTCAGATCATGAAGTCAAGGAGACTGAAGAACTGTTGCATCTTGAAGGAGAATAACAAGTGTGACAACGTGGTGCAACAGTGACCCTGGATTGGATCTTTTGCTGTAAAGGACACCGTTGGCAACATCTGGTGAAACTCGACTGGGTCTCTGGATAAAGCATTTTATAGAAGCTCTTTGTACTATCCAGAAACTTCTCTGGAATGAAAAAGGAAAAAAAAAGTTCAGAACTTTTAAAAATGCCAACAATCAATCAAAGCATGTAGACAGTGGAAATCTGAAAGTTAAGTAGCAGTCTGTTTCCCCAGCAGTACCCAGCAAAGCTCACTTTAGCTATTTTTCTTCTGCTGATTTTTCTTACTAACTCAATGCTTATATTGGTGTTTGTTGATTTATCAACTTCACACATTTTTGACTCTCCAGTATGAAAGAGGAGGGTTTAATTCCCTCATATTACCCCCCACTTC